TGGGTTGAGGTGACACCATGGGGGTGGGTTGTCACCCAACGGGGTGACATCGTGGGGGTGGTTGAAGAGGAGACACCATGGGGATGGGTTGAGGTGACACCTTGGGGATGGGTTGAGGTGTCCCCATGGGGACAGGGATGGGGTGTCCCCCAGGGGTGCCATGTCACCCGTGGGTGCCGCGTCCCCGTCCCCAGGGTGTTCACGCGGCTGCTGCTGGAGGCGCCGCTCATCACTGAGGGCGCCCTGGACGTCGTGCGCAAGTTCTGCGAGGACGAGGTGGGCGCCGGGGGGTCCCCAATGTCCCCAAGGTGTCCCCAATGTCCCCAGGGTGTCCCCAACGTGTCCCCATGACCCCAGTGTCCCCAAGTTGTCCCCAATGTCCCCTGCAGAGCCGCACGTTCGCCGGCATGGCCGCCCTGCGCGACCTCATCGCCAAGCGGCCCTCGTGCCAGTTCCAGTATCTCCACGTGCTGCTGGACCTCAGCTCCCACGAGAAGGACAAGGTGCCACCACCGCCACTGCGGTGCCGCCACCGCGGGTGACAACGACACGGTGACAACCGCGCGGTGACGTCGCTATGGGTGGCGGTGACGCGTGGCCTTCGTCCCAGGTGCGCCAGCAGGCCCTCCTCTTCATCAAGAGCCTCTACGAGAAGGAGCCCTTGAGGGCCTACGTGGAGAAGTTCGCCCTCAACTACCTGCAGCTCTTGGTGCACCCCAACCCGCCCTCCGTGCTCTTCGGCGCCGACAAGGACACCGGTGGGGACACCTGGGGACACGGGGGCGGGGCGGGGAGCTCCATAACAACCTCCTTGTGTGGTGGCCTCCACTTGAGGCCGGGGTCTTGCGCATGGTGGGGACACAGGGACATTGAGGAGGTCCATAACGACCTCCCCGCACAGTGACCTCCACCTGAGGTTGGGTTCTCGCACACAGTGGGAACAAGGGGACATTGAGGAGGTCCATAACAACCTCCACGCGTGGTGGCCTCCACTTGAGGCCAGGTTCTCGCACACAGTGGGAACACAGGGACATTGAGGAGGTCCATAACGACCTCCACGCGTGGTGGCCTCCACTCGAGGCCGGGTTCTCGCACACAGTGGGAACACAGGGACATTGAGGAGGTCCATAACGACCTCCACGCGTGGTGGCCTCCACTCAAGGCCGGGTTCTTGCGCATGGTGGGTACACAGGGACATTGAGGAGGTCCATAACGACCTCCACGCGTGGTGACCTCCACCTGAGGCCAGGTTCTCGCACACAGTGGGGACACTTGGGGACACGGGGAGGTCGGGGAGGTCCATAACGACGTCCCCGC